ATATATGTATTTACAAAATAAAAATCTCTATTTATATCAGTTCAGTATCAGTCTGTGTTAATTATCCAGGGCTATTTATTATATTTTTATAAACGGTTATCTTTTTCCATCGCACCGCTCGCTATCGACAGTGAATTCATAGAAATGTCACTCTAAAAACAAAAATAGTTTTGTGTTTTGTATTTCAAATACTAAATGCAAAATAGGTATTTTCAAAATACTTTTTAAAATAAAGTACCTTTTGATTAACCTTCTTGTCCAAACCTCAGATATTTTATTTATTTTAGGTATATCAATCATTACATAGTGTAGTATAAAAACAAAGTCGCTGTCGCATCTAACAGTACATAAATAAAGAAAGAAGACTTTTTGGCTCTGATACCGTAACGGTCTATCAATTATGAATTTATTAATTTACTAACCTAGATATTTTATATTCGCAATGCTACATACATTGTAATATCCGCCTCCATTCATTGTAACGGTGGAGGGACTAAATAGTTGAATAAAACTGAATAAGCAGTTGCTCCACTCTATAGGTACTGCGTCGTCGTCGTATGCTGTTCATTTTTTCACTCGTTTTGGCGCCAAGAGAGGGTCACATAGTCGTGGTCAAGATAAGAACTTATAATTTAATTTTGATAACAATAGATACAAGTAAAAAGTAGGTATTATATTAATGTACGTAAGTACTGTACTTAAAAATATTTATTCTTTATTGTACATTTGAAAAACTTAACACTTAAGGACTTGTACATATACACGTACATACTGCCATTTTCTCTTAAAGACATCCAGAGAAGCACTATTTATCAAATACGCGGGGTGCACCGACCTTTGACCTTATAACAGCTGATTCGCGCGTAACGAATTACATTGCTACTTTTTGGTATTTTATAGTGGATATATCACTATAAAATATTATTATTTCTTTAGATTATGACATAATAACATAGTTTACATAATTTTAAGGGAAACATACGATAAAAAAAATTCCCGTAAAATGTAAAAGATAAAAAATGGTTATTTTTGGTTATCCTTAAGAGATAGACATATACCATCACGGACTTTTTTGTTGACCTTATTTTGATACATCTCAAAGCACTAGACAATACGCATTTTCATTAAACAGTATTGTATTTTTTTTATTTCTTTAACTTTAATGCACAAAAAAATTTGTACATGTGGCGGACTTAATATTTTGCCGCGTTATTTACCAGGCAACCATGAGTGGTGCAGCGAAAGATTATTGGCGGTGCACTAATATAAATAAGAAATGTCAAAAAAAGATTTATAAAGATAATAAAGATAAGCAAAATATACATTTCTATAAAAAAATAACAATATGCATACATAAATATATATGTAAATATAACCCATAAATGTATAAATATTATATATAAGTAAATACATAATGATCCGATAATCAAATTATAAGTACAGTCTCAAATTGAAAGTAAGAAAAACAGAAAATATAGAGAGAACTATAGGGATATAACAGAAAGATGTGAAAAAAGGAGAAGGACAGTAAAAAAGTTACAAATTTAAATAATGTTGCCGCAATTTCTGTTTAAATGAATTTATTACATTATTATATATATTAGGCATACGACTATCCTTATGACTGTTACTTTTTTTTTAATCTATACATCTATACATGTAAATAAAATTGGAGTGTCTGTTTGTAATATTGAAATAACCGTTTTCTACTACTTGCATATGAATATAAATACGGTACATACACCAAAATAACATATTTTACAAGTTTTGTCTGTCTGTCTGTTTGTTTGTTCCGGCTAATCTCTGAAATAGCTGGACCGATTTTGACGGGACTTTTTTTGGCAAGTAGCCGATGTAATAAGGAGTAACTTACGCTACTGTTATTTTAGATAAATAAAATAAAATTTCACGCGGACGAAGTCGCTGGGGCCAGCTAGTCTATAGATATACCGAGATTTAATGTTTAAGTTACTATTATGTTGTTGACAAAATTTTACTGTAATGTTACTATTACGTTATCCTACACAATTTGTATTATTTTGGATGAATAAATAAATAAATAAATAATAATCTATACACTATACACATAAATAAAATTGGAGTGTCTGTTTGTAATACTAAAATAACCGTTTTTTACTACATGCATATGAATATATATAAGGTACATATACCAAATTAACAATTTTTATAATTTTTGTCTGTCTGTCTGTCGGTCTGTTTGTTCCGGCTAATATCTGAAATGGCTGGACCGATTTATAAGGAGTAACTTAGGCTACTTTTATTTTAGAAAAATAAAGTTAAATTCCACGCGGACGAAGTCGCGGGAACAGCTTGTTTTTAATAAAAACGGTTTATTCGATAGAAAAAACATCTTTTTTGTGGTACTTGAGGATGTTGAAGCCTGTTGTTTATAATATTGAAATAATAGTTTTTGACTACGAGCATATGAATATAAATACGGTACATATACTAAAATTTATTTTTATACAATTTTTGTCTGTCTGTCTGTCTGTTTGTTCCGGCTAATCTCTGAAGTGGCTGGACCGATTTTGAGGGGACCTTTTTTGACAGGTAGCTGATGTAATAAGGAGTAACTTAGGCTACTTTTATTTTAGAAAAATAAAGTTAAAAACCACGCGGACGAAGTCGCGGGAATAGCTAGTGTATAATATATTAGAGATACCTACGTGTTTTTTTTTATTGATGACTAGCTGTACACGGGATTTCGTTCGCGTGGAATGTAACTTTATTTTTCTAAAATATAAGAAGTTACATTCCACGCGAACGAAGTCGCGTGTACAGCTAGTTGTCGGTAGTCTAGCGATTTAGCTAGCACACCGCTTTGATTCCTGCTTGGTGGTCGAGGGTTCGATTCCTCGCACGCTGCAAACATTTGTATTCATGAGTATGATTGTTTGTAACGGTCTGGGTGTTTTCTATGTATAGATAATATATATTAATTTACGAAAAAAATCTTTGTATTTGTATCAGTTGTACCAGACAACTGATACAAATACAAAGATTTTTTTCGTAAATTAATAACACAATGTTCAGCTAGCTCAACTTGGGTCTAGATGAAGCTGTGTCAATTGTCCTGAGATTACTATTATTACTATAATAAATATTTTCAAATCAGCCGATGTTTATTTTTGCCATAATACGTGCTGTTACCATGTGATAATATTACGTACTTATTACTGTTTTAAATGATGCGTTCATTATTTATATTTCCTTTGAATTAAAGACAAGTGTATATATATATATATATATATATATATATATATATATACGCGCACTTAGTTGCACACTGATGTTGATCCAGCCACGACCCGTAGATACATTTGCTGACTCCACTGTCTCTCTCTTTCTACCACTATAACGGTATCGTGGCGGAACGGCAACATGTTGCCGTTACGCGTTCCCGCGTGTTCCCTAGATAAAAACTTTTTGGCTCTGAATATATTTAAAAAATCATTTACTTGTGTGTTGATGAATTTTTTTTTTTTTGGCGGGTAGTTGCACTGTGCATTCAATAAAATATTCCATCCTCATTATTAATTTATATTATTATCAAAATTTACATATTATTACTTTTATATCAATAATTCCTGTATATTATACACTGAATTTCACCTACCAGCGTTTGTAGCCACCTACATGCATTTATAGTTAAATTATTTTGCACTAACCCGCCTGCCACTGCAACTTATTTCTCAAATTCACTACTTTGGAACAATTCACAAGTTATTCACCATACCACCGGATACAATGGCCAGTGTTGCTGATGTAGCATCCATTCAGAAGTCCATGGAGGCTGTCTTACTCAAGAAGATGTCAGAGCTCGAGAGTCAGCTGAAGATTGCATCATCTCCGAGTCCAACCATCACTCAGATGCAGCAACAGTTCTGTGAGTTTAAGGAGCACATGCTCACTATTTTCACTCTACTAAGACAACAAATCACTGAACTCATTATTTCCAATGATGACATTGAGATGCGTCACCGTCGCAAACACCTTATTCTGAGTGGTGTTCCTGAGAGCAATGATGTCAAGCTAACCACTGCTGTAACTAAAATACTACAGGATCATATTGGTGTTACAGTCAGTGAAGCTGATATAGTTGACTGTTATCGGATGGGAGCCATCACGGAGGGGCGATATAGGCCAATTGTTTTTAGACCCTGCAATCCCACTCTTAAGCAAGACATATGGTCGAAAAAATCTCAGTTGAAGGGTACCCAGTTTGTTCTTGCCGAGTTTTTGACCAGACGCAGACAACTCTTATTTATTGAAGCTCGAAGACGGCTTGGTATTACAAAGGTTTGGACATTCAACGGTAGCATTTATGCCAAGACTGCTTCTGGAGGACGTCAGCGTATCTCAAGTTTTGAGAATCTCGCAGCCATTTCAACAGTGTCAAGTTTGCCTGCATCGGTAGTTGCTGATACTGTCAAGCCAGCACACGCAGCTAATGCGCGCTCTAAGCGCACCGTGAGGTCAAAACAGTAGTTTTACTCTGTTACTACGGTGATTATTAATCTTTTATTTTGTTTTTGTCTCACCCACTTTATTTTTGTTTTGTATTCACATAAAAGTAGTTAATCTAAATATTTTATGTCATGAAGACAATGACCACAGATCAGTGACAGTGACGCTTAGTTACAACTTGTCATTTTATGTCAGCAGCACGCTGTCACTTGTGATTGATACCCAATAATGTCGTAATTCTTTTGGTGTTTGGATACCCACTGTTAGGTTTTGTATTTCTTGATATAAATAAATTGAATTATCTTGAATGGAACGTATATTTCTTTTTTTACAATAATATTTCTTAGCGAGATGTAAAAGAATGTTACTTCACTTAAGTCACAGACAATATGATAAAAATTTTATGACGGTGGTAATAAAACAAAAGTACGCTACTATCCGTTACGAATATGAGTATTGCCTTTAACAAACATGCAGGCGTTAACATACTCCCCCCGTTGAAAAAATCGTTTTCAACCCTGTAGATCTTCTTCCGTTGGCAAGGGACAAAGGCGCACTACTGGGCGGCGTACAATGCCTCTTGTAGTATTTATATCTGCTACGCGGCAGACTCCATCAGGTCCAGGAAATAATTTAGACACACGACCCAGTCTCCAGCAAAGTGGTGGCATGTTATCTTCTTGAAGAAGAACTAAATCACCCATGTTCAAGTTTGAGGATCCTGTCTTCCACTTATTGCGCTGTTGTAACTCAGCTATGTATTCCCGCTGCCAGCGCTGCCAAAAATGTTGATGAATTTGTTCCAGTCTAAAGTAACGTTGAAGGTTATTTGATGACTCCTGTTCTAGCGATGGTGCAGGAAGAGACGTTATGGCCCGACCGATCAGAAAGTGTCCTGGTGTAAGGCATTGGAAATCATTCGGGGAAGAAGATAGAGGACAAAGAGGACGGCTATTTAATATAGCTTCCACCTGTGAGAATAGTGTTGACAGTTCCTCGAAAGTTAAATATGAATTTCCCATGACACGCCTAATATGATACTTAGCGGAGCGCACCCCCGCTTCCCATAAGCCGCCAAAGTGAGGAGCGTAAGAAGGCGTGAAGTTAAATTTTATTCCTTCGCTACTTGCAAAATCCAATAAAGAATTTTTAGAAATCTTGAAAAAATTATGTAATTCTTTGGCACCTGATACAAAATTACGGCCGTTATCGCAAAACACTTCCGCTGGCTTGCCCCTACGAGACACAAATCTGCGAAATGTTAGCACAAATGCATCCTTGGTAAGGTCACTTACTGCTTCTAAATGCACACATTTATATTTTAAGCAAATGAATAGGCAAAGATAGCACTTTAATAACCGAGCACCACGCCCCCTTTTATTCGTTATTAAAAATGGACCCGCATAGTCCACACCTACGGCTTTAAATGGAAATCCTGGCGTGATACGTTGGGCTGGCAGATTACCCATAAACGGAACCAATGTTTTCCCTTGCAATCTCCTACATTTACAACAATTGCTCACCGTTTTACGAGCTAATTTCCTGCCATTTATTGGCCAGATATATTCCCTAACTATAGATAGTAACAATTGCGGACCAGCATGTAAGTGGTGTTTATGTTCATATTCTAAAATCAATTTTGTTAAATGATGGGATGCGTCTAGCAGAATAGGATGTCTTTTATCATAAGAGTATTCCGATGCATCTATTCGCCCACCTACTCGAATAAGATTATCGTCGCCAAAAAATGGAGATAGCGATAATATTTTGGATTTAGTGGATAAGTTTCTTTGATTAGATAGGAGATGATATTCATCACAAAATGACTGCATTTGAACTAACTGACATAATTTAAGAAATGAGTTCTCTATTTCATTGACTGTTAATGTACCAACTAATTTATGCGCGGATTTCAAATTATTTATAAATCGCAAACAATACGCAAATGAGCGTTTCAATCTAGATAAATTAGAAAATCTATTAATGTTTATTACAGTGTCCACGTTGCTGGTACTGCTGACTAATGCAGAGGTAAGTTTAACTTCAGGTAACGTATCATATTCAATATTTTTATTTAAAATTGGCCAATTACCTTCAGGCTCTTGAAAAAACGATGGACCAGACCACCACAAATTTGAGGTTTGTAGAAAATTCGGACTGACACCTCTAGATATAAGGTCAGCGGGATTGACAGATGTTGGAACATAACGCCATGCTGATGCATCTGTCAATTCACAAATTTCGGAAACACGATTAGCAACGAAACTTTTCAAATTACGAGGGCTGCTACGAAGCTAACCTAGGACTACACTAGAATCACACCAGTGAGTAAGCTGCTGTACATCGTGTCTGAGTGACTCCTTTACTGTTTTGCACAGCTTAGCGGCTAGCAATGCAGCGCATAATTCCAGGCGTGGAATAGTAGTTACCTTTACGGGAGCTACTTTAGATTTTGAACATAAAAGGGTAACATAAATTCTGTTTTGAGAATCAACAGATCGCATATAAATAGAAGCACCATACGCCCTTTGAGAGGCATCGCTAAAAGAATGTATCTCTACAGTTACTGGCTCATCACACAGAACACGTCTTGGAACTTGAATTGATGAAATAGAGGGTAAGTGACTAGCAAAATTATTCCATTCCATTTGTATATTGTCAGGTACTGGTTCATCCCAACCGACCTTTAATAACCAAATTTGCTGCAAGATAATTTTAGCTCTTACTACACATGGACTTAATAAACCTAATGGATCGAATATTCTAAATATAGAGGAAAGTACTGCACGCTTACTTAAATTAGCGGTTTTCACAGAGCATGGAAATTTAATAGGAAAATGAAGTGTGTCAGTGGGCGGATTCCAACCAATTCCCAAGGTACTTGTTGACTCACTGAATGTTAAATCATCATTATTTGAGTTGTTTTGCACAATAGACGGTAAATTGGTTTTAAACTTCCTAAGATTAAAACAACCTTTTTGAAGGACCTCGGAAACAGCTTTGTGAATGTAACGCAAATCATGTTCATTTTCAGCTCCAGTAATTAGATCATCGATGTAAAAATCTCGTTGTATAATGGTTTTTACTTTTTTATCTGGACTTTCTTCTCCTAATTGCCATAAACAGCGTGTACTTAAATAACTTGAGCTAGCCATTCCGTATGTTACGGTATTAAGTTCATAGGCCTTAATAGGCTCAGACTCGTCTTCCCTCCATAAAACCAATTGAAACTTGCGATCTCTCTTAGCTACTTGAATTTGTCGATACATTTTTTCTACATCTCCAGTAAGGAGATACTTATGTTGACGAGCTCTAATTAAAATAGAAAAAAGTGTATCCTGCATATTGGGCCCCACCATAAGAAGGTCATTGATAGACTGGCCTGAAGACGATGGAGCAGAACCATCAAACACAACCCTTATTTTCGTCGATTCACTTGTGTCTTTAAACACAGCATGATGACATAAAAAATAAGCTTCATCATATTCAGTTAATGTACATTCGGAGAGATGTCCCAATTCTGAGTATTCTCGCATAAATTCAATATATTGTGTCTTCAAACTTGATTGCTTTCTGAATTTTCTTTCTAAACTTACTAAACGCCTTTTAGCCAAGGTATATGATTCGCCTAAACAATCAGGAGAATCCTTTACAGGAAGATGAACGCAAAAACGACCTGTATTTAATCTAGTAGTATGTGATAAAAAATGCCTTTCGCATGCCTTCTCCTCTTCGCTAAGTAGTGATTTTAGTGAAACCTCTTCGATTTCCCAAAACTTAGTGAGCTCTTGATGAATGTTATCATCTGGTTTTGTAGTTACGGTATGATGGCATTGAGTACTAGCTTGTTTGTAACAGAAGTTGGTATAAATGGGACCAGAGATTAACCAACCAAATTGGGAATTCCTTAATTTAGGGTGCTTCGGACCTAAGGAATGCTGCTCACAACCTAGGATATCCCAAAAAATATCGGCACCAATTAGGATTTCAATGGGTGCTGGATGGTTGAAGTTAGGGTCAGCAAGGATAACATTGTTAGGCAAATTAATATTATTTATGTCTATTTTTGCCTTAGGTAAATCGCCTGTTATTTCTGGTAATATTAGGAAACCCAATGTGACGTTAAATGGCTTTGTTAAAGATTTCAACTGCGCCACACAAGTTTCTGTAACCTTATTAAAAACATTATTACCTACGCTAATAACATTAACCAACTGATTACTATTTGATTTTAATGACAATCTATTTTTTAGATTATTCGTCATGAAGGATGATTGGCTGCCGCAATCTAACAATGCACGGACTCTTTCCTTTTGGAGTGTAATCGGATTAACTACTTCTATTAAAGCAGTGGACAATAAGACTTGAGAGACATTTTCATTTGCCAAATTAACAATTGTATCAGTAGCGTTATGAGAGGATTGCGGTGGTGAGGAAGATGTACTTACGTCAGTGACTGAGCGATGTAATAAACTATTGTGCCTCCTTTTGCAAATGCGACAAGGTCCCAAGCGACAGTTTCGTGTTGCGTGACCCGACCTTAAGCAATTGCTACATAATTTTAACTTATGTACTTCATTTATACGTTCTTCTATGTCCTTAGCTTTAAAGGAAGTGCAGTCATAAATGCGGTGCTTTCCATTACATATAACGCAAGATATAGAAGGAGCACTTACTTCGTTGGTGCAAGCAAACGATTTAATATGTGGTCTTTCAAATTTGGAGTTAGATCCCTTTGGCAAAGAAATAAATTTATTACTGGTAGAGCTACGACTTAATGATTCTAGAACGTCAGCACGATCGATTAAAAACTTACTAAATTGTTTTAAATTAGGAATGTCATCCAATGTACCACGCCATTCCTCCCATTTTCGAAGAGTATTATTATCTAATTTTGAACTCATGATGTGTATGATTAAAATATCCCACTTGTCCGTGGGTTGACCCAAGTTGCCCAATGCTCGTAAATTCTTTGTCACATGATCAACTAAAAATCTAAGTGCCTTATCAGATTCACGGACTATGTTTTGAAGGTTCAATAACGAATCTAAATGATGTTTGATTAACTGGCGTTTATTGTCATACCGCTCACACAATAAATTCCAAGCCGTTTCGTAATTATTACTAGATACTTCCAAATTAGATATTACACGAGCTGCATCTCCTTCTAAATAAGAAGTTAAATAATAAAATTTGTGAATTGGTGCAATACGCTCATTATTATGAATAATAGACAAGAATGTGTCCTTAAATTCAAGCCACCGGAAGTAGGTCCCATCATACTTGGCAATTTGTACGTGTGGTATTTTAAATCCCAATTCATGCTGACCAGCAGGAGACGACATTTGAGTAGAATTCAGGTCTTTATAATTACTATCATCTCTATGGTTATTTTGTTGATGTTTCTGAATAATACTCTGAGCAACGGCCGTATTAGTCACAAATAACTGTTCCATATCATCCCTCTCATCTATCTCACTATCTAAATTACTAGAATTTAAAACCTCTATTCGATTTTGCAATGTATCAAACCGGCTAGAAAGCGATTCAAATCTACTGAGCTTAATTGTTAATTCACTAAACTCTAATGGAGTTAATATCTCCTTACACGAAATACTGACTATATAATTTTTAAATTTTGTAATTTGACCCTTAATAGAACTGCGTTTTACCATTAGGTCTTGCAAGTCTGAAGAGCCAGAATCCATGTTGTTGATATAGTTTTTGATAGAACAAAGTTATATTATGACTCGATAACAACACACTATTGATTTCGATGTTTGATAATTTAATATTGCTTTACTCAATATCAATCTAATAGATTAGTAGTAAATAAAATGTTTAAATATTGCTCACGCTCCTCCTGTGACTTGACGAATGAACAGGAACCCGGTTCTGCACTTACTCTTAAGAAACGAGTGTGCGGTCCGAATTAGTCCCAACCAAAACAGTGACTCAATCACAGATTATCTGGAATTTACAAAATGTGACATTTATTATAAGTAGTTACTATACGTACAATATTTTCTGCATTAATTTAATATGAAATACAGTATAATCCACGTTTAGATGCACAAATTAACGACAGACAGCTATTATTAAAGTTTGTAAATAGATATATATAAATGAATAAACTTAACGTTTATTCATTACCATACATGTACCTACGAAAATTAAAACAACCTTAAATATTATAATTATTAAAACACTCGTACCTTGTATTCGAATATTGTTATACTATTACGCTATTTAAAAATATATTGAAGCACAAGTGAAGTCTATATATAAATTGGAGCAAAAGAAAACGTTTCTCTTGGGAATCTATGGAATAGGAATTGTACTGAAAGACGGGAATTATTAGGAATTGATAATGGTATGAACACTTAGCTGCATCGGCTTGGCTGCGGTGTGCTGTCTTGGGCAAATACCGGCGTTGGCTGCGATGACTTGCTGTTCTAGTTATTCTTATAATTACAATAATATTGCAACCCGTTGATTTGAAGAAATTTGATACAATTTGATTGTTGGTTGTCGTCTGATTTGTTTTGTGATTTCTTCTTTTCCTCAGATATTGGTTCGTAGTACGGTCGCCAGATGTTAGGTTTTGTATTTCTTGATATAAATAAAATGAATTATCTTGAATGGAACGTATATTTCTCTTTTTACAATAATATTTCTTAGCGAGATGTAAAAGAATGTTACTTCACTTAAGTCACAGACAATATGATAAAAATTTTATGACGGTGGTAATAAAACAAAAGTACGCTACTATCCGTTACGAATATGAGTATTGCCTTTAACAAACATGCAGGCGTTAACACCCACACTTTTGAGACTCACTGACTGTATTTTATTAATTTATAGTTATTTAAATTTTAGTGTAAAGTAGCTTAAAGTTTTCTATGAATATTTAATTCATGTGGGCTTTCTGTATGTAATTTTTAAGACGTTTCTCAGTTATTGTAAATTGTTTTTTATATTGCAGTTGGCCGGCGGTTAGTGCAAAGTATGAGTGTTGGTGCATCGCGTTCTTTTTACCTTTATTTATTTTTGTTTTATATAGTGTAATAATATTATTTTTATTTTATTAAGTATTTATATATATATATATATATATATATATATATACATATATTTCTAATTTATTTACATTTACATATTTTAATGTCTGACAATGAATCCTTTTACTCGGCCCACAGTTCTAATGAATCTTTTGAGTCTCTTGATATGTCCCTGTTAGATGCATCTCTTTCTACAAATATTTGCAATTAATTAGTAAACACACACCGTAATCTAAACATTTGTCATATTAATGCTCAGTTTACCCCAACATCATAGTGAATTGATGAATACCTTTAATATGAATGCTGTCGACGCGATCTTGGTTTCTGAAACGTGGTTAAAACCCTCTGTGATGTCCACTTCTATTAGTTTACCGGGGTATTTCCTTATACGGAACGATCGTATTGACAGGCGAGGTGGAGGGGTTGCTATTTACTTACGCAGTGGCTTCCCTTATAAAACTTTAGCTACCTCTGCCGCGCCCGGTGGTGCTGAATATTTATTCGTGGTAGTTGATGTTAGGGGAAGTAAGATTGTTCTCGGTGTTATATATTGTCCTCCTTCCACTGATTACTTCCATGACGTTGAGTCTATTTTCGAGAACATTATGGCGGAGCACGCACATCATGTTATCATGGGTGACTTTAACACTGATTTGCTCAAAGACACTCACAGATCTCGTAAGCTACGCGATATTGTGCAGTCGGTGGGCCTTTCAGTGTTACCCCTTAGTGCTACCCACACTAACAATGACTCCCATGACACCTGGCTTGATCATATTTATGTGTCCTCACCTGAGTTCATATTAAAACATGGTCAATTTCCTGCTCCTGGATTCTCCAGACACGATCTCATTTATATCTCCTACAACATAAAAACCTTCAAGCCCAAGCCTACCGTCGTTCGTCTGCGTAGTTTTGCTAAAGTTGACACGTCTGGTTTAGGGAAGGAAGTGACTGATTTAGATTGGTCATGCGTGCTGTCCGCCTCTTCAACAAACGATAAGGTGTTCGTTTTTAACCAATATATACTCCAAATCTTTGACAAGCATGCTCCGGTTCACCTTGTCAGAGCTAAAAAACAGCCAGCTCCCTGGATAACTACGGGAGTGCGCATGGCTTTGAGAAAGCGTAATCGTGCATTTAGTGTTTACAAAAGGGATCGTTGTGAAGAGAACTGGAAGGCTTTCAAAATTGCGCGCAATCGTTGCAACTATATGGTAAGAGCTGCTAAACGCCGTCATATCCACTCGAACATTCTAAATACCTCTTCGGCCAATACCTGGAAGTTTCTAAAGTCACTTGGGCTGTGCAAACAGTCTGATGATTTTTCCTCATCTATCTCATTAAATGACCTAAATAGGCACTTTTCCTCAGTTCCCACATTGAATGATTTTCAGAAATCTATCTCTTTAGCTGAAATAACTTCATGGCCTAAACGTCCTATTGATGAATTTTTATTTTCGCCAGTTACTGATGATGAAGTCCACAAGATAATCTCCTCAATTAAATCCAATTGTATTGGTTTTGATGATGTGAGGATTATGATTATTCTCTTACTCGAACATTTGTTACCCATCATTACTCACATCATCAATTCTTCTCTACATTCCTCCGAATTTCCTACATCCTGGCTTAAAGCATTTGTGCTTCCCCTTCCTAAAGTTTCCTCCCCACAACTCCCTAAGGACTTTAGACCTATTTCAATCCTGCCCTTCCTCTCAAAAATTTTAGAAGCTGTTGTCCACAAACAATTATCTGCTTTTGTATTGACTAACAAACTGTTGAGTCCTTACCAATCAGGTTTTCGTCCTGGACACAGCACTACTACTGCTCTACTGAAAATCACCGAGGATGTGAGGGAGGGCATGGAACAATCCAAATTAACTGTTCTGGTCTTGGTTGATTTTTCCAACGCATTTAACACGGTTGATCACGACATCCTACTCGCCATCCTTGCACATCTTGGGATTTCATCATCAGTCGTGAAATGGTTTGCCTCTTATCTTCGTGGTCGTCAGCAAGCAGTCCGTGTAAACCAGTCTTTTTCTGACTGGTGTGAGCTTGTCGCTGGCGTTCCGCAAGGCGGAATTTTGTCTCCTTTACTTTTTTCTATCTTTATTGATTTTATCACTACAAATCTCAAATGCTCTTACCATCTATATGCGGATGATCTTCAGGTATACTCTCAAGCTGTAGCTTCTGAGCTTGGTGAGGCCATCGATCATCTGAATATTGATCTCGATCATATTCTCAAATGGTCCAAAAAGTTTGGTGTTTCTATTAATCCTTCCAAGTGTCAGGCTATAATCCTTGGAAGCAAACAACAACTTAGCAAAATTGAGTTTGGCACTTTGCCTCCAGTTCTCTTCGGCAATCAAACTATTACCTACAGTGCGCATGTTAAAAATCTCGGCTTGTTGATGGACAGTACTCTTAGCTGGAACAAACATGTTAACGAGATCAGTCGTAAAACTACAGTGACACTACGTAACTTATACAGGCTTAAAAATTTCCTCCCCACAAGTACCAAAATCCTGCTTATCCAATCCTTAGTCCTTCCCACCATTGATTACGCCGATGTGTGTTGCTCTGACATGAATGTAGATCTTTTAAACAAATTGGATCGTCTTATCAACAACTCTATCCGGTTTATTTTTAATCTCCGCAAATTCGATCATATCTCTTCTTATCGTTCTCAGCTTAAATGGCTACCTATCCGCTATCGTAGGAATGTCCGTATGCTTTGTACTCTCTATTTCATTCTATACGATCCAAATTCTCCTGATTATATTAAGTATAAATTTCATTTCCATGGGGACAACACCAATCACTGTATTCGTACATCCAGAAAATTTTTACTTCATATCCCGGCTCATTTGTCCGGTTTCGTCCACTATTCTTTCGCCATTCAGGCAATCAAACTTTGGAATGACTTACCTCTTGATATCAAAACTGCTACGAATAAATTTTCTTTTAAACGTAAACTACGGGAATATTATTTGAATTTATAACTTTCTCTCTTCTCTGAATTCTATTTTTTTCCATTTAACTCTCTTTAGTTCTGTGACTGTCAGACTATTTGGTATATATTTAAGTTTATTGCATATATATGTGTGTATTTATGTGTATATAGGTATCATATTTGTATATATTTATGTTATATATTATTGTATCTCTTAAGTATATATATATATTGTATATATATTTATATTTTGTTGCATTTTGTTTATGTTTATAATTTTGCACCGCCAACAATTATTCTCTGCACCACCAATGGTTGACTGGTAGAAAATGCCGCATGGTGTTAAGTCCGCCAAATGTACTATACTATATATTATATTGTGTGCATTAAAGTTAAATAAATAAATAAATAAATTTATATACTAGTACATGAAGTACCTAAAATACTTGTTTTGATCCGAATAGGTAGCGATATTATGAATTTATTATACGTAATCTAAAGATTTTGACGAAATAAGAGTAATTAGTTATCTGTTAACCTTGACTTCATACTGGCACCAGTATTATCAGATGATGAACATACTCTTCGAAAACTTACAGCAGAAATATCGTGTTTGGACTCATTAGATTGGTCTCGATGAATAGAGTTTAAAAAACTTAAAATAAATGGTAAATTAGAAAATTTGTACTTCATATCCCGGCTCATTTGTCCGATTTCGTCCACTATTCTTTCGCCATTCAGGCAATCAAACTTTGGAATGACTTACCTCTTGATATCAAAACTGCTATGAATAAATTTTCTTTTAAACGTAAACTACGGGAATATTATTTGAATTTATAACTTTCTTCTCTTTCTTCTTTCTCTTCTTCTTTATTCTCACAAACTAACAGTTACTCATAAAGAATGCATTGCATTTTACAACTCTACCCAAGAATATTTAACATTGGTGCAATAACCAATTTCCTTGTCTAATTACAATGCACTGTAAACACGGATTGGACAATATTCATAAAGACATGAATTACCGTGTTCCGTCCGTTAGTCTACAATAAGAATATGTTTACAATAAGAAACCCTACGGTCATCATAAACCCGATGGCTAGAAAATAGTAACGGTGTTATCTTATCACAAAAGGCCAACAAATATTCATTGTGTTTATAAACAATGAATGCCAAATGAACGCTGGTACCCAAACAGATGTTCAACCGTTATCGTAGTTTTAAACAGTGAATCGATGTCTTATTCTAAAACAGCACTTTTAAAAACTAATATTATTTCTAAGTTATTGTCCAATTTCAACACACAACTTATTGTCTACCTAATCTACACAAATATTATAGGTGCGTCGCGACGCCGCTTATATGTGTCGCCTGTCGTCAATATCCTCCCCTCGGCGTAGACTCGTCGCAGCCTCCTTTCACTGGTAGACGGCGACTTCTTGTAACCTCGGTGTCAGCACGGCCCGTTTATTTGTGGGCTGACGAAATACACCTCCTCGCGTACGCACGTTGATACTGCGGACTACACCATCGGTTCCCGGATGTACTGTTTCGACGACGCCTCTTGGCCACACGTTGCGTGGCAGTGTATGATCTACTACGATCATAATGTCACCTATATCAATGTTTTCTTTGTGCTTTTTCGCATCCTGGATGTGCCGCTTCGTTGTTAAGTAGGTAAAGAGCGCTATCCATCGCTTTTCTTGCCGCCTCCCTATTGTAATTGTAATAGGGTTGAAGTAATCAGTGCCATAATTTGAAAACGGCCTATGAAATGGCTGTAATCTTTCCCTTGGCAGGTCTTTCATACTCGGTGGTGTGGGCATCTTCTTTCGTACTCTACACCAAAGATAGCTTCTTGCTATTACTCGTACGGTTGGTCGGAGTTTTATTATATAATATTTCTGTCGTATATCATTTACGACTCTCTCGTTGTTAGCGTGTCCAGCGGATCGGTGCTGTTTTTCTATGAGAATTCTAATGTACGAGTGCCGACCGTCCAATACAACAGGTCGTTTCGTTTCCAATGATATGTTCGCGGCGTTTATCCTTCCCCGCAATCGTAATACGCCGTCATCTAGCGTAGGATCTAGCTTAAATAGAGGGCTGGATCTTGATAGTTTTCCTCCCTTTCTCAATATCTCTATTTCTAATCGCGTAGCACTCGGTTGTAATTTGAAAAACGCCTTACATCTGGTAGGCTACGTTCACTACAGTTTGTTGAATACACCGGTACCGTTTCCTCGCTGTGAGCGAGATAGTCAGCTGTTTTCGGTCGTTTCAGTGCCATGTTATTACTTGATGGCAGTGTGACGTCATCTTTACACCTCGGCAAGCTGACTCCGTCTGCACCGTCGTCTTTACGGTGCGCGGTTGTCTCAAAACAATTAATTGCTCGTTGATCCGTCGACTTTATCTTCAATTTTTTCTCTATAGCCAACGTGTCGGTGTCGAAGTGTTGCTCGACGTGCTCGTGCAACCGTTTATTTTCTGCTACTGTTGTAACATGCAGCACCCGTGCCGAGTCCCTTTTGATCGTTACGCGGGGAGTGGTACCGTGCAGTACCCAGCCTAACTGCGTTAATGACGCGGCTGGCTCGTTTCTCCTTCCCATTTTTAATTTTCTTGTAACGATAAGCTGCCAGTTATCCGATCCGATTAACAACTGTGGGCGCTCATTATCGTAGCATAGGTTATTCGGATTTAAATCCTTTAAATGATTTAAATCTAACAGTCGTTTAGGTATAGACTGACTAGTGAGCTTCATTTCTGTGACGGTTCTTGCATTTATTTTATATTTGCGTCGGCTCTGTCCTTGTATCTTAATCCGTACCGATCGACTATTTATTTCGCATCGGTCAGCGTTTATTCCATGCATGTTTAGTGGGTGAATCGGTCCGTTCGCCCCCACTGCTTTTGCTATTTTTTCATCCAATAGCGTAACTGTAGATCCCTCATCGAATAGTGCATATATTCTTTGTTTTCCTTTCGGGCCAATTACAGTGACTGGACATACTTTTAATTTGATGTCGGTACTCTTGTCAACTGTCGTTGTCGTAACCGCTTCGTTGTCGATGTCTTCAGCGTTGTCACCGGTGTTTGCGCTGAGCCCTGTGTGTTGGTGCAGCAGCGGGTGGTAGCGAAGCTTACACGTGCTGACTCCGCACGATATTGCTTCGCAATTGTGACGTTTATTTTTACTTACGAGACATTTAAAACACAGACTGCCATTTTTAACAACGTCCCATCGTTGATTGATTGTTTTTGTTGTGAATTCAAGACAAACTGTTAACTTGTGTTGTCGTCTGCAGTCTGGGCACACAATCATGTGTACCTTAGTCTCATTTTCTACAGTTTCAACTGTAAAAACATGTCTCTTATTCCTAGGCGTTATCGCTGTCTGCCTATGCATCGTGGGTGGTCGCGGTATTTCTTTTTTTACGTATGTAGGCGCCGAATATCCATATTTCATAGCCCTTCTCGCCTCTTGCGTAAGATGGTTTGAAAGTTGAATTATGTCTGGTATATCCTGCTTCTCATTTTTCTCTGCAAATATATACCAGTTCGATCGTTGATGGGGACTCATTTTCTCCAGTACTTCCCTGGTCAGCATCGGGTTGAACAGATAACCTTTTTTTACTTGACTCAGAACTGTTACGATGTTTTGTACTTTAACTGCGAATGCATTAAATTCGCTAGTGGACAGTCCTGGTCGTGGCAGTCGCTTCAAGTCTTCAATAGCACGATCGGCTATTATTTCGGGATGACCGAAGCATTGTTCCAGCGTTTCCATAATACGATCTGGATGGGTCGAGGCATTCAGCAACGGTGCTACCATTTCTCTAGCTTCACCCCGCAGACTGTTTCGCAATCTCGCTATGTTTTCGACTGCTGTAAAGCGATACAGTGCTGTCGTCTCCGTCATAGCTGCGCGGAATTGAAGCCATTCCCACGGCGACCCAGTAAATATGGGTAAATCAGTAGCTTGTCGTGGTGGTGGCCTGGACTTCATAAGAAATTCTACCGCGCTCGTTAGCTTGTCTATGGCTCGTTCCATTATGTCCGTCGGTGTTGATGATCGTCGATGCTGGTCTTCATTGTTCTGTGTCTTGATCGGGGTTTTTAATTGTTCCCCGTTCTCGTGGCGAGTCGGTTTGGTACTTATAAATACCGACTCCCCTCGTATGTTGTCCGTGGGTGGTCCATTTTGTTTCAACCACTCCTGGACACGATGTTCGTTCTGTTCTGGTTCCCCTGGGTCTGCTGAATATCTGTTCGAGGCGGCAGTGTTCATTGCTAGCTTCTGACGTGTACGATTGTCCATTTTAGGATCCATGTCAGCTAGTTGCATCGCCTCGTCCTGCACGCTTCTTATAGATTGTACGGACGGTGTCGGTGTTCCTCTTCTATATTGTGTGACTTCTTGCCTCATTGCGGTGGCGGTTGACGGCCCGGCGAATTGTTCGGCGCCGGCCGTCCAATTTTCAACCTGATATCCGCGGCGTGTGGAGGGTACGGTGTCACCGGGGCTCCGATGTTCCTGGGGGCCCACCCTATTCATTGACGGTGACTGTGGTGATTTTTCATCTAGCGCTGCCGCTTGTTCATCACGTTCCGCTTGGCCTCTTGTGACTACCATTTTATATCCGTAGGTCGCTGTCAGCAGATCCGGCGCTCGAAGGTCCAACACTGTTGGCGACAGCTCCTCAGGGAGAGCAGTGGACTGTATCGATGGTGGGGTTTGAAAGAAACGGTTGTCTCTTGAAGCCTGTTTATTCTCTCCACAGAAGTTTCACAATTGAGTTATAACCGTATTCGATGTTACATTCAAGTTTCAGCCGCTGTAGCTCAGACTGTATGGCGTCTATAGGAAACTACCGCGACTGACTTTACAATAATAACGGACTATAACTGCCGTCCGTACTACATATGTTCGATTATGACAGCCGTCGGCATATAACAATCCGACTATGACTGTCTGAGTCCCTCTATTATAACAGTATTATGACTGCATTATAACTATATTACGACTAACTCGATACAAAAATTCCTCGCCTTATATATGGGAGGTATAGACTGTAGTGGGGACTACAGTCCTTACAAAATTCTTACTGGCAATAAACCAAACCTTATTTCTATCAGACAATGCACAACGTTATACAACTTCATAACAATATCCTTTCACATTGCCAAAATTCCCTTACTTATTTATTCTCACAAACTAACAGTTACTCATAAAGAATGCATTGCATTTTACAACTCTACCCAAGAATATTTAACATTGGTGCAATAAACAATTTCCTTGCCTAATTACAATGCACTGTAAACACGAATTGGACAATATTCATAAAGACATGAATTACCGTGTTCCGTCCGTTAGTCTACAATAAGAAACCCTACGGTCATCATAAACCCGATGGCTAGAAAATAGTAACGGTGTTATCTTATCACAAAAGGCCAACAAATATTCATTGTGTTTATAAACAATGAATGCCAAATGAACGCTGGTACCCAAACAGATGTTCAACCTTTATCGTAGTTTTAAACAGTGAATCGATGTCTTATTCTAAAACAGCACTTTTAAAAACTAATATTATTTCTAAGTTATTGTCCAATTTCAACACACAACTTATTGTCTACCTAATCTACACAAATATTATAGGTGCGTCGCGACGCCGCTTATATGTGTCGCCTGTCGTCAATACTAGTTTTTTCACAAGAATGAACAAAAGCAGAATGGCCTAGTTGGTAGTGTACCTATGTACCAACTCACACACCCCGAGTTCGATTTCCACCATTGACTATTGTTATTTATTTCTTTTTGATTTTTTTAAATTTAATATTTTAATAATTAAATTAATTTATACGAGAAAAACGTAGTTAAGTATTAAATTAATTTTACTAGTTAGGAGTGTACCTGTGTACCAACTTACCACACAGACATCCCGGGTTCGATTCCCACCATTGACTATTGTTATTTAGTTCTTTTTGTTTTTTTTTTAATTTATTATTTGAATAATTAAATTAATTTATACGAGAAAAACGTAGTTAAGTATTAAATTAATTTTACTAGTTAGGAGTGTACCTGTGTACCAACTTACCACACAGACACCCCAGGTTCGATTCCCACCATTGACTTTCTTTTTTGTTTTTTTTTTTAAAGTAATATTTAAAATTAACTATTTTAATAATTAAATTAATTTAATCGATAAAAACGTTGTTAAATATTAAATAAATTTTGACATTAACTATTATAGCATGCACGAAAAATATTTTGTAATAATAAAGAAAATACATTTTAAATGTTGTTGTGTTAATTATTTATAAGATCTTACTATAATTGTTAGTTACTTTACAATTTAGAAAGAATAATAGGTAATGTAAATTAAAATTAATTTAATACTTAACGAAGTTATGTTCGATTAAATTCATTTAATTATTAAAATAGTTAATTTAAAATATAAAATAAAGACAAAACAAAATAAATAGTAAAAAAAAATCTATGGCGGGAATCGAACCTTGAGCGTCCGTTTGGTAAGTTGATTTGAAATTCAAAGGCTTATTTCTTCGAAATTACTGGCCATTTTGAAATAATACTTAGGGTTCGCATACCCTTATCGGATACTACTACTACACGGAGTTTCGTCAAAATAAAATATCTAGGTTAGGTATAATAAATTCATAATTAATAGACCGTTACGGTATCTGTATATATTCGGATCAAAACAAGTACTATGAAATAAGAACGAGTATATAAATTGATTAACAGAAGTCTTCTTTCTTTATTTATGTACTTGTTAGATGCGACAGCGACTTTGTTTTATACTATACTATACTATGTAATGATTGATATACCTAAAATAAATAAAATATCTGAGGTTTGGACAAAAACTCAAAGGGTAATTTATTTTGAAAAAGTATTTTGAAAATACCTATTTTGCTTTTAGTGTTATAGTACTTTAACTGTTATATTTTAAGTAACAATGTTTAATTATAATTAATACTACTGCACCAACACTCCGATCGTGCAAAAAATTTTGCTGTTTCATTATTTTTTAGTTCAATTAGTGGTCTACCTAAGTCCTGGGCTAAGGGGGGGGGGGGGGGGGAGAGTCATGACGCCCCCATGACTCCCATGACCTCCATGACGCTCCCCCCTGGATCCGCCGTTGCGTCTTCTCTTTATTCGCTCAGTAACGTTGTTACAAAAGAAAAGATTCCCGTCCAAAAAATAACAAGTATTGAGGTTTGATCTGGAGTCACGTTACTCCAGACTGATTTTTACAAATATTTAGATTAGATAGACTATTATTCTTGAAATACTAGCTAGACAATATTAAGTTACTGTAGCCATAATGTAGTAGCCCAAACGTGCCAATGAGGAAGCCCTTGGCAAATGCTGCACCCTGATTGGCCCGTTTGAATTGGATCAAGAACTGCTCGTATGCCAAAAAGGTGGATTTGTATAAAATCGTGTATAAATCGCTTAAGTATTATTATTACTCGTCGTGACAGTTGTGGCTCAAAACGGATCAACATTTATATATGGTCAGCTGGCATTAGATCAACAAAAGTGCCCAAGGGGATATTTATATATATATATATATATATATATATATATATATAATTTGATTGATCACGCCATAACCTCAATCATCGATTGTTTTCATCGGTCTGGATGTTTTATATGTATATTATATATGTATTTACAAAATAAAAATATCTATTTATATCAGTTCAGTATCAGTCTGTGTTAATTGTCCAGGGCTATTTATTATATTTTTATAAACGGTTATCTTTTTCCATCGCACCGCTCGCTATCGACAGTGAATTCATAGAAATGTCACTCTAAAAACAAAAATTATACTTCGTATCTCTCCCGAAGATGATTACTGATTACATGCAGCACGCCAGATGATGCTGTCCTTATCACACTATTTTTAGATCATTTTAAATGCATTGATCGATAAAAATTAAATTTTTTGACTTGGAGAAAATCCCTCATGGAGACCCGCCGGCCCCGGGGGAAGCCCGCGGGTACTGTGAGACTCCTACTCACTAAAAACTCCAAGATGTCCCTCACCCAACGCCTAAGCCGGAGTCGCGGGATCGATGACATTCTACCGCAACTCCGGCGGCGGTGGCCCACTCTAGCAGCGGGCCCCATCTCTGCGGGTTCCATAGCGGAACCCACTACTTCCCCTCCTCTTCCCTGGGGAAGGCGCGCGGGGACATGCGCGCGACTTCTTCGGGCCTGGTGTGGTGGGGTGGGACCGCCCCCGCGGTCGTCACCCCGGCCCGGTAGCGATCGAGGAGCGGCTAGTTACCGCCCCTACCTCCCTGATCGCCAGGAGGGGGACTGGGCTCGTGGCCCGTCTCCATCCCCTCCTCCTGAACGCTCCTTCGGCCTGGGGCCTGAGTGGCTGGCCGTTTCCCCTTTTTGTTTTTGGGTGGGGTGCAAGATTTAGCACCCACCCAATGGTTCGCCGGGCGACCTGAGCGCGGCGCAGATGACGCACCGCGGATCGGCTGTGCATGTTGCTGCACGATGGCCTGCTTCCCCACAACGGTAGCAAAGGCCGCTACGATCCTGGGTTTGTGAACACTGAGTGCTCACATGTCCTTCTTCACTCTTGGCCTCCCTACCTTATTGGTCTACAAGCGCCCGAACCTCATTACGCGATTTTGTGTTGTCCGAGTCACACGTCACTTCCAACAAAAATAAGTTAAAATGGGAAAAAAGGAAGCGGTCAGATAGAGGTGACAGTCATGAAGTAGAACGGTTGTTAAAAAAAAGTTAAAAAGTTAGTGAGAACAAGAAGAAGAATTTTGTCATCATCGGATTCGGAAAATATCACTATAGAAAATAGTTCGTCAACTCCTGTGCAAATAAATTCAAATATCGAAAACGAAGCCAGTGATCCAATAATTCAAGGTAAGAACAATTCTCTAAAATGAATATCAAACAAAGAATATTATTATCTGTTTTATTTGACGGTACATTTATATAAATCTACCCGACGTAATCGTGTGTGGATTTTATAATATTTATATATTATTTTGTTATAATATTTTTATTATAACAATAACATAATCGAGTCTTGACGCAAAGCGTGTATAGACAAAAACCGTTGCATCTCAAATTTCGTTTTTACCTATTATGTTATTTTTACGTCATTACAGACGAGATCCTAATTGAAAATGATCAAATGATAGAGGAAAATGATGAATTAGACCCAGACATATTACAGTTACTAGGGTCAGATCCAACACACGATAAAACCTTTGGTGAAAATTTACATAAAGATCTAGCTATGAGATGGAAACATATTTTAACCAACGGGATACCTAAAGAAGAAAAAGCGAATCTTTTAAAAGAATATTTACCCGCAGAAAATTGTATCCCCATGAAAGCACCGGTACTAAACCCGGAGTTGAAGTCGGCATTGTCCGATAACAGCTTAAAAAAGGACTCGTACAGTGAGCACAAACAAAATCAAATGTCTAGCTGCATCTCGGCTATTGGCAAAGCATTAAACTTAGCTTTGACACAAGTGGAAAATACCCCACAAGAAATTATTAAAACTCTGAGCGATGCAGGGCGCTTACTGTGTGACACTCACTACAGAGAATCCCTTTCGAGAAGGTTTACTATTGTTAATTCCATAAGTAAACAAAAACGTGAAATAATAAAAAATACAAAAACCGACGCAGCGTTCGAGATCTTACCCACAACAGACTCGACGACGTTGAATACATTATCTCAGGTACATATTACAAAAACAATTGTACCGACTGCTGGCAGACTTCAGTACTTTTTTGATGAATGGCTTAAAATAACACGTGATAAAAATATTTTGTCCTGGGTTAAAGGTTATAAAATACCATTCTTTTGTGACCCACATCAGATAATTAAAACTAAATCATATACGGTAACTGAAATCAACATAATTGATGAGTGTATTACGGAATTATTACAGTCAGATCATATCTCGACTTGTTCCCCATGTAAAAATCATTTTATTTCACCTATTTTTACAGTCCCGAAACCTAATGGCAAACACAGATTTATTTTAAATTTAAAGGAATTAAATAAATTTATATCTATTAAGCACTTCAAAATGGAGGATTATCGCACCGCATTAAAATTAATAGACCAAGACTGTTTTATGGTCACGCTTGATTTGAAAGATGCCTATTTTTTAGTCCCCATTGCCAAAAGCGATAAAATCTACCTTCGTTTTACTTGGAATTCTGAAATATATAAAAATCAACTGTTTGAATTCAATGTACTGCCATTTGGACTATGTACTGCACCTTATGTATTTACTAAACTTTTAAAACCCGTGTTACATTATTTACGTTCATTAGGTTTTATATCCGTAAATTTTCTTGATGATTTTTTATGCATTGGAGGCTCATTTAATAACTGTCTTGATAATTTAAAAACTACTAAATATATACTTTCTAAATTGGGATTTTTAATTAATGAAGATAAAAGTAAAACTGTACTCAAGCAAAAATGTTTATTTTTAGGCTTCATTTTTGATTCAATTAATATGAGTCTAACATTACCCGATGAAAAGAAAAAACGCATAAAAATATTTACAAATAAATTAATACAAACAAAAAAATGTAAAATAAGAGAATTCGCTCGTTACGTAGGTTTATTGACCTCCGCATGTCCAGCAGTGACTTATGGATGGGTTTATACAAAATTATTTGAACGGGATAAATTCCTAGCACTTAATTACTCTAATAATTACAATAAATATATCACTCTATCAAAACATCTAAAAGAGGATTTTGTATGGTGGAGAGATCACATAGACTCCTCATTTTCTTTATTTCAAAGTTGCGACTATTCTGTTGTAATATTTAGCGACTCTTCAAATACGGGTTGGGGCGTAGCGTGCAATAACGAAACAGCCCACGGACTCTGGAATAGTTCTCAGCTATTATTACATATAAATACTTTAGAATTATTATCGCGCCAGGTGGCGCTTCTAAGTGTAAATACAGCTCCCAGTTAAATTAATCTTTAAAAATATAAAACGAACGATTTTTACAGAAACTATTAATTTATTTAATTATTTAAGTTCTAAAAGACTTGTGTTATTATTTGTACATCAATCTATTTATGAACAGTGAATAAAAAAGTGATAATAATCGAACTAACTAGCGACTATGAATACATAACTAAAGTCACATATTAAATTAAATAATTTACAAATAAGTGCTATTAAACAGTTCCAATACTACAAAAACATATAATTTGTGAAGTAAAAGTGTTAAATTAGTAATTTATATATTTTCTATTTTTATTATAAAAGTGCAGGGTATACCAAACCCAGTGACATTCAAACATTTGTGACATTTCAAACATTCAAAAGAAACGGTCTAATGACAACATATTTGACTAGATGTTGAAACATAATTTCGCACTCGAGGTTATCACAAGCATTGGCCTAGTTTGATAGGCGCCTGCTTCTTATCCAAGAGGTTGTGCCTTCAAATCTGAACGGCGAAATTAATTTTTGTGAAGTTTAATTAAATCTAATAGTATAATCATCGAAACTGCGTATGTGGTTGGACAGCATTTATTCAAAATGAATAAACATCCGAGACTAGGTGTCGAAACTCGATTGCAACAGTCAATACAAGCAAAAGATGAAATCATAACTAATTTAAATAAACAAATTCAAACTAAAGACGAAAGTCTAAAGACATACGAACAATTAATATGCAACTTAGATATAAAACTTAAAGAAAAAATGCGATTAATAAAAATTATGGAAGAAGAACACGAACAAAATAGTATAGAATTCGAGAGATTATGTAAAGAAAATCAAAACTTAAAGAAATGTATTACAATTAAAGAGTCAGAAATTTTTGACTTACAAAATGATATTGTTGCCATAGAAGAAGCAAATAGAAAATCTAACATTGAATGCGAAGAAGTAGTTTCAATAAATAATACATTGATTACACCATTAAAAAAACAACTAAATGATATAAATACTGAAAATAGACTTCTACAATTAAAATTAAACAAAGTTATGGATGAATATAATAATTTAAGAATGACAACAGAGTTAAAAACACAATCATTAATAAACGTAAAAGGGTCAAGGATTTATAAAAACCGCAAATTATTTAAAAAAATAAAAAACCAGATGAAAAAAATCAAATCACTTCAAAATAAATTGCATAGACTTAATAAAACACAAAAGAAACATATTAGTGTGTGTATCGACACTCCAGTAAAACACACGCAAATTATATCTGATCAAACAGACAACTGCAATATCGAAATTAATACCATAGTAGTGCCGTCCCATAATAATTCGAACACAGAAAGTGAGAGAAAGGTCTTGATTTTTTCGGACATATCAGGGAGAAATGCTGCTAAATATATAAATCAGAAATGTTCAAGAAATCTGAATATCACTAATATTTGTAAACCACATTCAAGTGCGGATAAAATACTAGAAAATTTTAAAAGCTACACATCTGATCTTAATACAAATGACATTGTTATAATTATGATTAGTAAATTTCATCCAAAATTAGATAATTATATAAAATTACTAAATACACTTCTGAATTCTAACGACAATAGAATGTATAATACAGTATTATTAAGTCTGGAATACGACGGACGAAATAACTATAATATATTTAATATAAACAAAAAGCTTTATAATTTAGCTAAGTACAATAATAAAATCAAATACCTAGAAATTAATAATACACAACATGGAGTATGCACTTGTAATGATTTGTTAGATATTCTGTCAGAGATTATCCAGAAACAATTCCAACATACAACTACACTTGTATTTCCCGAACGCGAAGCTCTTATTCAAGAGGATTTTCGACTCAAGAACAACGCAATTGTAATAAAATAAAAATTCTGCATACAATTGCACAATGTATTAGTAATAAAGTAGAGGAAATTAAATTATTAATGGAATGCCTAAATTGTGATATATTTTGTGTAAGTGAAACCTGGTTATCAGAAGTACAAATAAATATTTTACATATAAATAACTTCAGCTTAGCATCATATTTTTGTAGACAAAATCACAAACATGGAGGTGTAGCTATATTTATTAGGGACGGAGTCAAATTTCGTACTCGCGGTGATATTACCTGTTTGTCACAGGAATTACACTGTGAAGCTGCGGCAATTGAATTAAAATCACAAAAAACTGTAATAATCTGTATATATCGCGCTAATTATGATATTAATATATTTTATGATACACTTTCAAAAATTCTATTTAAAGTTAATAAAGAAAATAAGCAAATAATTTTAACTGGTGACTTTAATATAAATTTCCTCAACAAAAGTAAATACTTAACGGATTTTAAATTAATTTTAAAAAACTTTGACATGAAGAATATTTTAATTGATAGTCCCACACGTATAGCCAAAGGCAGTTCAACCTGCATTGACAATTTTATTACAAATTTTTGTGACAACATTATACATAGTAAAGTACTTGACTATAAGATCTCCGACCATAATATTATCGAATTAGTTTATAACGTTAAAATACAGTATAGTTATAAAAAGGATGTAAAAAAAAATTACATTGCACGTCAATTCGCAAAAAATAACTGCAATTACTTTCACTATTTACTTAATAAAGACCAAACATATTATTATGATATCTATAATTGTGACGATGCTAACGTAAAAGCTGAAACTTTTTTATTAGGTTTAAAATATTTTTATGACATTGCATTCCCAAAGAAGAAAAAATATATTATAAATAAGAAAAACTACTGGGAAACTAAAGGCATAATGAAATCTAGAGACACGTTGAATAAACTGGAACTATTACAATCTATATATCCTACTGAAAGACGTAAATTAAAATTAAAGAAATTTAAGAAATGTTTTAAAAAAGTTTTATTAACGGCGAAAAGAGTGCAAATCTCGGACAAAATTCTATTTAAAGTTAATAAAGAAAATAAGCAAATAATTTTAACTGGTGACTTTAATATAAATTTCCTCAACAAAAGTAAATACTTAACGGATTTTAAATTAATTTTAAAAAACTTTGACATGAAGAATATTTTAATTGATAGTCCCACACGTATAGCCAAAGGCAGTTCAACCTGCATTGACAATTTTATTACAAATTTTTGTGACAACATTATACATAGTAAAGTACTTGACTATAAGATCTCCGACCATAATATTTCACTATAAAATATTATTATTTCTTTAGATTATGACATAATAACATAGTTTACATGATTTTAAGGGAAACATACGATAAAAAAAAATCCCGTAAAATGTAGAAGATAAAAAATGGTTATTGTTGGTTATCCTTAAGAGATAGACATATACCATCACGGACTTTTTTGTTGACCTTATTGGTATGTATTATATTATGGTGCACAACTGTTAACTAGGATGTTATAATGACAAGACACTTTACGAGACTGATTCTTTATTATATTGACGGTGAACATAAAATATTAATAACAATGTACCCCCCCTAGCTACAAAGTAATATATACATAATAATTCTTTACTTGTAGATATATAACACTGTAACGAAAAGAAATAACCTAAAACAATTATCTTTACTACACCTGTACATATCATAATACTTAATCTTATATATAAAATTTTACGTTCAATTAGTATATTAAAAAAAACTAAATCTAAAACTAAAAACACTGAAACAAAAAAAAAAGCGTTTAAACTTTAAAGTTCAATTAGTATAAAAAATAACTAAAATAAAAAAAAAAAATACAATTACATATTACACCAGTTGTCTTATGTAAGTATAACAGTAATATACTACGCTTACTGGTGTACGCATACACAAATGGAAAAATGTACAGCTTGTGTGAAACCTAAAATATTTGTAAAAATTATTCATCCATTCTATATCTTGACACCGGTTTGCGTATTCGAATTGAACGCGATCTAGGGGCATCGCCATCGGGTGACTCATGAGTCCCTGGCGAAAGCACCTGTGGGTATAGTGACCGCAGGCCTACCGGCTGTGTCTCCGTCACGGGTTCAATATCGGGTTCAGGGGGCGTATTATGAACTCTTATTCCCATTCAGTTTACGGCTTAAACTGAACTGCCTGGCGATTTCGTATTACGAACGCTATTAGCCAGCCAGTCAGCGGTCACATGACAATTGAACGTCTTCTGTCCGAAAACTGACCGGCTATTTCGTATTATGAGCGTTTCATTTGACAGATCTGAGCGGACGCAACTGTCAAAAAGCCCGTTTAAAAACAATTCAGTTTACGGTGGCTTCATATTAGCTTTTATAGAATTGTTTTCTAATTTATAGCTTCATTATTGTAATTTGGTTATTATTTCTATTTCTATGTCAGTTTTTATTATGTTTATAACATGTTTGTGCAGTTATTTCGATTGTTTTTGTTTCGTTTTAATTTTAATTATGTGTGATGAACTCGAAGTATTGGAGTTTTTGGAAATGTGTGCACCCTACGAAAAAGAAGTAAGGAAAGTGAAAAGACGGCGATTACGCGACCAATCCAATCCAATTGATATAGACAATGAACAATTTAGAAAACGTTATAATCTAAATAAAGATTTGGTGCGTAATATGCGTGCGAACTCATATGCCGGTATCATCGAAATTTACAGACCTACCAGTGGAAACTAAGGTATATTGTATTGTAATTATTTCACTAAATCACTAGCTGACTATGTCAGGTTTTAGTAGCATTATTATTTATGCTGCAGGCTCGTATCAACGGCCTACTAGTGATATTGCTCTTCATTCGCTAGCACAGCCAATGGCAAATAACCGATTTATTGCATTTACCCAACATCCAACAGTAAATACATATATAAAATTCCAAGGACATCTGAGTAAAGGATAGATAATAAATATTCAAAGGTATCTATTTCTATACAATTAGCAACTGTGATTGTTGCAAATACATCTATGAGTACCATGTACCATACCATATGATATAGTGATAATATATATGGTAAAATGTATGCACACAAGTAAAGCCTAGAAAGCAAGTATACAAGTATGCAACAGTCTGATGATGTGTAGTCTCTCCGGCACTTTCCTCCGAGGACAATTAATTAAATTAAATTAATTATATTTTAGGTTTTATAATTGGAATTTGGAATGCTGGGTGTATTGGGCTGTATTTGACTGTACACATGCCACCCCATTGTAAATTAAGAAGAGATATTACTGTAGAAAACAATACCATTCATTAAATATATAATTGGTAAGTGAAATATAAATTAAAAGACATGTTTAATAATATAAGCACTTTTAATATCTTTTTTTAATATAATTATATAAATTAACAATAAACAAGATTTTAGACATACAAAATATGTTAATAATTATACATTTCTAAAGCTACTTATATACCTACTAACAATAAATTGTTTACTTAAATATAAAATGACCATAACACTTAGACATATGTTTCAAATAATCTGTATCCATGTAATTAATCTCATATGTTTCAAATAATATTTATCCATTAATTATTCTCTTATGTTTCAAATAATCTTCATCTATGTAATTAATCTGGAAAAAAAAATTAGGTTAGTAATGCTGACATGGACATTATGAGTGTGGATGCCAACTGGAACTGGAGCTACTCATGACATTTGGGCAAACCAGAGGCATTAAGCAACATCTAGAGGACTTAAGCTGGAATAAATCCTTATGATTACTTGGTAAGCACAAAATTTTATTATGAAACTACAAACATCATTACATCTAAGCTCTAAACTTGAGTAATTTAGGAACATAGTTATTTATCAGCACTAACAGTTATTGTGCTGTATTTTTAATGAAATAATACTTTTTGTAAATAAATATTAATATTATAGTATATAATATGTTGTTTTTTTTTTTAGGAGATCCAGGATATGCTTTGGATGATGAGAAGTATACTCCCATCTCAAATGTTATATCAGGACCACAAGAAGCATATTACACTGTAAGAACATGGAATATCATTGAGAGCACAATTGGGCTTCTAGATTTAGATGCCTACATGTACTTTGAGCTCTTATAGAGAACTAAATGAAGGTCTAGCTGCTAGACAAACCCATGTTGTTTAGTTGTGGAACTAAGAAATTGAAACATTTATAAATAATAATACTGTTAATAGGTCAATGTTTTAATTATTTGTTTTTATAAAAAATGATATAGGTACATTATTTATGTCTTTTATTGGTAGTTATAATTAAAGGGATATGATAATTGTATTATATACTAGTTATTACCTATGACTTTGTCCATATGGCATACCTAATTTTTGTTAAAATAAATAAAATATCTCAAATAAAAGCAACTTAAGTTACTCCTTTACGCGACTCATTACATATGACAGTGAAAGTATCCCTCAAATTTGGTCCAGCTGTTTCAAAGATTAGCAAGAACAAACAAACGGACAGACAACTATTTTTTTTTAATGTCATTTATCTTACCTTCTATATGTATGCATTTACTGAAAAGCTGTTGTATGGTGAACTTCAAAATTACAAACAGATACTTCAATATATTTGCATAGATATATGTATTTCAGATTTTACTGAGATTCCTATTAAATGAAATAAATTAAAATTCAGATGGTTACCTTATAACACTTAAACTTGACAATCCTTTCCAGTCTTTAAAACCCCCTTTTCCTAAGGAGTTTAATTGTTGAGCGACGTCCTCACACAAGCGATTGGTATGGTATTCTTGGGCGGACTTATTAAAGCCACTTGCCATTTCCCTATGGGATTTTAAAAATCCCATATAATTTCAAATTACCGGTACGATACACGACGTTGGCGAGAGGTTTCAGTCCGTGATCTACAATTTAGTTAGATAAATATACAAATATAAACATTTAAATATTTGCATCATTTTAAAAAAACATTACTAAGAAAATGTTAGGAATACTTACGTTACATTAGGTATATTTTTCACAATAATTGAATTATTAAATTTAACTTGCGTATAAAGTTATGGAAAGGCTAAGTTTCAAGTTGTACATTAAAATCGGAATTAAGAGGCCTTTCACATTTTTTGGCCTAAAAGCAGTGTCTTTGGGGTTCTGGTTCTAAGAAATTAAGAGTCGGATATACATTTTGATTCCTGAATTATATAGATAGATATCTAATCTTAAAAACAACATCTTTGAAATGTTAATTTTCTCTTTGTTAGTCTTCCTAATTTCTAAAATAGTTTATTCAAAAACGCTAAATGACAGAAGTTTGGGGTCGTCGTTCATTAATAAACAAACATAAATTGATATGATATCTTTACTAAAACTTGATAATTACTTTATAAATTGAGACAGCATCGTCCTTTTCTTCATTTTCAACTTAAATATCTAAAAAATTGATCATAATTAAACCCGAAATTTCAACAAAACTTTGCCATAATCATTTCTAATTTTCTCATAAATACAACGAAATTATTGCATAAAAAAAACATAATAATAAAGTTAATATACTTGTAAATTAGAAATATGAAAAAAAAATATAAGTTTCTAAGAAAAAAATAAACAATAATAATAATTTAAAGTTGTATAAATTCCGTTGCGCCAAAAGTAAATTCTCAGTGCTGCGCTAGCGCTCGTCGAGGTAGGACCTATGCCATTTTTTACAACACCGCTAAGATAAGACATTCGTCAGTGAACATTAGTATAGAGCGACTAAACCATTTTGATAATTTAAGTAATATTTAATTAATTTTGCTAATATATACTTATTTCTACGAATATTAATTTAAAGTTGTTGTTAAATATATATATATATATATATATATAATAATAATATTTATTTTAGCATGCCAAGACAAAAGTACAGTTATGCTACAAATAAAACCTACCTACCCTGCTGGACTATGAAAAGCACAAGAGCATGGTATTTCGTCACACTAATGGCAATTAATTGTTAAAATTAAAAAAGAGAACATTTTAGTATTTTTAAAAATAACGCTTATCTGAGAGAAAAATGTAAGAAAATGTAAACCAATTTTACTCTATGTTTATTTTGTAGTTTTTTTCTAAATTAAAATAGGGTTATTGTTTATAAAAATACCATTATTATTTTTACGTACATTTGTCTTGTGTTATATAGTGTATATCATCTAGTATGCAATGTGGATTGTAAATAAATTACCAAATTATATATAAATTATATTCCTTAATGTTTAGAGATATTTTATCCAATTTTATTTTATTTTACACAATACAGATATTTCTAAATTGCAGCTATTCTGTTATTATACTCGTTGGACTTTCATTACTGTACAGTTATGTCAAATAATTATGCGTGTTTGGGTGAAAAGTCAACAACATTATAAATGTTTTTATTTAGAGACTAGCTTTTAGCTCGCGGCTTCGCCCGCGTGAATATGGGATATATAGGTTATCGCGCGTTTAAAGATCCGTGTACAGTATTGGGACGTTATATATAAACCTTCCTCTTGAGTCTATCTATTCTGTCTATTAAATAACAACGAATCAAAATCTGCGTAGTTTTTTAAGATCAAAACATACATAGATCTATTACATGTGTAGATGATATTTTAACCGGAAATTGAAGCCGTTAAAATGGTATTGGCAGATCAGTTGGAATCATCGGTATTCTTGGTATATAAGCTGGTTGCCCAGCTAACGTACCGGTTATAATGGTCTACAATTAAATTGTCTTTCAATTCTTTAGTAAGCAATATATCCAATGGGACGCCATTGCACATGTTCGGCGGGCTTAAATTTCATGACTGGATCATGCTTTTGAGAAATTCCTTCCTCAAGTTTGAGCATTTAGTGTGGGAAATCACTATCTGTGCTTCCATAAAAATGAGCTCTCAAATTTGTCAGTAGTTTTAAACTTTCAATTAAAGTCCATAAGGGAGACGATGTTAATGACACAGAGAGTCTTTCAGAAATCTCCAGCAAAAGTATAAAAGTAATCCCGCCAATGAGAGCAGAGGTGTTTCTAAGGTCTTTTAAGGTTCTGTCCAAAATCTCTATAGCTCATGGTGATTTCATTACATATAATCAATGAGGCGTCTTATAATAATTTATAAAAAGGTTTGACATTAACAATTAATTATTTATCAAGAATCAAGAATCGGCCAACCAAGAACGAGAAGCTGCAATATCAGCCAATATCATGCGGCGACGTCAATGATGCAGGAACAGCAATGATAGCAGTTGAAGCTTTTTTTTACAACTTAGAATGGCAAACAAGCTGACGGCTCTCCTGATGGAAAGGGGTAACCGTCGCCTATATACATGAGCAGTACCTGCCATGTTCATATCAGCACATTGTTTCCCTCATGCGTTGCCATTCCTGAAAACTCGGGTGTTATTCCCCTGTACCTTGTAAATTCACTACCATATATATACACAGGTAGTCTATATAGATATATATACATATACACAGATAGTATACCCTGAGAAAGGTCATAGACTACTTTATAGTGCGAAAAAAGTATTGTAAGGGATTAAAAGCGGAGATGAAAGGTTGTATAAAAGTATCGTCATTGTTTAATTGAAACAAAGAAACTTTTTTTTTGGTTATAATCTAAATATATTTCCTTTATTTGGTCAATTTCATTATACCACGCTGACGAAGTCGCGGACACACCTAATATACATATAAGGATGGGACCTTTAAATCAAAACAAAGCCTTGAAAACACAACTATTATATATAAATAAAATAATTATTTGCTAAGTATAATATTTAGAACAAGTGAATATGGCAATAATGTATCCGACTCTTATAATAAATTATATTGTATCTATTAATAAATAAACTGAATTAATATGTAAGAAGAATTAATTAGTAAATTTATGTTATAGTAATTTCATCTTCCTGTCCTTATCCCAATTATTTGTTACTCATATTACTTAAGGTTTTGGCTTTTAGTTGTACAATCGGCCAGCATCCTGACATCAACCCTCTAGGAATAATATAATAAAAAAATATGGTCATTATTAGCACTTTGATAATTAAGATAAATAACGTTATTTAAAAAAATCCAATAAGTAGTCTCAGTTAAGTAGAAACATATCACATTATTAATTAAAATATTACAAGGATCAAAATGGTTCATACTAAATCCACACCGATTGAGCTACACGGTTATTTGCGTTTGCGATTAAACCTAAAGTTGAGCGGCATCATTTTGTAATAGGCCTCTTAAGTACTTTGCGCGGAATTTTAAGTAGATGCACAAAGTTCGTTTGGATATTACAATGAAAATATTTTTTACAAATAAATCCGAATTATTAAAAAAGACCATAAAACTGTCTGGAATATTTTTGTATATTACACAAATTCTACCGTTGTATCTTAATTACTGTTTTCTATATTTAATTTACATTTATTTAATTAATATTTTGTCCAAAAAGTGACATACAGAAACTCGACTTAACGTTGCAACGAATGTATGCGTATCCGAACGCAGCGCGAGGAAATCCACTAACCAGCCAGAGACAAACTATCCAGGCAAAATACGGTTTGAATTTGGACCCTCATAATACGAAAAAGAACATTTCATTTTAAGGCCGTAAACTGAACTGCCAGAAAACTGACTGGATTTTAAAGAGTTCATAATACGCCCCCAGGTAGACTTTGGTCGTTGTTGGACACGATTTGACCGCTACTGATTGATGCAGCGTCCTCACTCGATCGACGTTCATAATCATATAATAAATTTGAATCAATACTATTAAATATATATTAATATAAAACTGATCGACATGTTTTTTCAAATATTTATTATTATACTTGACATAGTACGTCAATGGACCCACACGGTCAGTGACAACACCCCTTTCCCATGTAAATGTATTACGCCGAAACAACTTAAAATACACGTGATCCCCGACGCTGAATTGTCTATAGGTATTATTATTTTTATATTCAATCTGTTGTCTTTGTTTATTTTTCACTAACTCGCTCGCTCGCTGGGTTGTAACAAACTAAAAGGTGGACGCACCTCTCTGCCTAGCAACAGGCTTGTTGGAGTTTTCCCAGTTATACTATGTGGTGTAGACCGGTATATTAATAAAAAATTGTCCAACGCCAATTCCGAATCTATTTTGTCATGAACCGCTTTTTTTTTAAGCTTTTTTAATTATTTTTACAGCATTTTCTCCCGCCCCGTTACTACTAGGTTTATAAGGAGTCGTTGTTATTGGATGTACACCTAGACTGTTCAAAAAAATTGTAAACTCATGACTAGAAAATGGTGGTCCATTATCGGACACCAATTCATGTGGATGACCAAATCGTGCAAATACTTTGCGCAATTTGTCTATGGTCGAAGTAGCTGAAGTGTTGTGAACTCTAAATGACTCAATCCATTTAGAGTGTGCATCTATGATAACAAAATAATACTTAGAATCGCCGGGTAACGAGAAAAAATCAACGTGTATTCGGTACCAGGGTTCCTGTGGCCACACCCACGGGTGCAGCGGCGCGGCCGGCGGCGCGGGCCGCTCGCGGGCGCACGTCCCGCACGCGCCACACACACGTTCTATGTCGCCATTGATACCTGGCCAGTATACATAGTTTCGAGCCAAATTTTTACATTTCCTCTAGCCTCTCTCAATGCGCCGGGAATAACAACCCGATGACCATATAAAATACAGCTTTGCTCGATACTGAGATATTCCTTTATTTCAAAATATGGCTTTAAATTTTTACATTTACAGTATATCCAATTAGATTTAATACTTTTATGTAACTCTTGCAATACTTTATCGGATGCTGTATATTTTGCAATATCCTTGTAACTAATGAGAGACGTATTTTGTATAAAATGAATCGATCCGCGTACTCTCTTCTGTCACAACGGTCGGAATTCTCGATAGGCAATCGGCTACACAATTATGTTTTGAACTGATACACTTAACTTTATAGTTGTACGCGCCTAGTATTACGGCCCAGCGCTGAAGACGGCTCGCGGCCATCAATGGGACTCCCTTATTTTCATTGAAAATAGACGCGAGCGGTTTACA